TCAAAGTGCCGCTGATCTTTATTTTTTCTTTTTATTTTTGTTAACTTTCTACCCTGTCCCTTTCTGATACAGAATGAAATTGAAGAATTTTTTTTTTCCCGTCCTGGGTTTTTTCTTTTTGGTTCGCAATCTGTGCTGCCTGTTCATGAGGAGGACAAGAGGAGAAGACACTGTGGATCTAACAGCAGGAAGTAAACCTGCCCAATTACCTAATTGGGTACAATGCTGCTGAAATTGGATCACATCCATCATACCCGAGAGCAGAACTTTGTCCATGGAGCTTTTGGTAACTTGTTTTGGAGCTGATTGCTGCTGGAGGAGAACAGCTGTGCACTTGCACTGCTGCTTCATGTGGGGCTTTGCTGAACGGTGGAGAAGAGGGGACGTGTCCTGCCCGTGCTTGGGGCACGGGCTCTCGCTTCCTTCGTTTCTGGGCACTACATGGGGTTTCTGCCCTCTCTCCGTGTCTCCCATTCATTCCACAGGTTCCATTTCTGTGCAAGCACTGGAGCTGTCTGAATACGGTGCTTATTTTTTTGTTTATTTGTTCAGCAGTAAGTGATCGTTTGCAGGGGCCTGTGCAATAAAACTAGGTTCCTTAAATTACTAGTTTATAGCAGTTTTAAAAGGAGCATTTTGGAGAAAGAGCTTTTTCTTCCAAATCTGTTCAAGGGTCTTTGTTTCGTTTGTGAATAGTCAATTTTTGAGTTGAAATTTAATCTGGAACCTGCCTTAAGCTAATTTTTGTTTTTCTTTGCTGCTATTATTTGTAGGTGTCTTTATTAGAAAAGGAAATTAAAAGCCCCCTTTCCCACTACTTTCCAAGGAACTCCATCACTTGATCTTTGTTCGAAGTTGTAATAATTTTTCGTTAGAAGTTTTAAGTGCCCTGCAGTGAAACTTGCACCAAATGGTATGGGTGGAGCTCTCCATACACAGCTCCACACATGGAGGTAGAATGTGCCATATTCAGGTATTTAGAACTGAAGAGCACTGATCACTGAACTACCTACAAATGAATATAATCGCTTAAAGCGTCATATGCAATATAAGGTTGTGAGTTGTTGGTCTACATTGGACAATTTCCATTTTTCAGAATCAAACCCATAACTAAATATGAAACAACGTAAATAAAATTTTACCTCTTCCGCTCTCCCACTCCCCTTCTTTGAGTTTCATTTGAAGGTGAAAATTTAAATTAGCCATGCATCCTCTAGACTGCTATAATTGGAACTGATGATCACTTTTTGTAACACTAAAACTTACAATGTTCTTTTAAAAGCTGGTAAAACGGGACATAAAACTGACGTGGGGGATTCTTCCTCTCTCCCTTACCTTGTCCCATGTCACGCTGTTACACCTCTCATCATGCGCTTTCAGTTCTTGTCTTTATTCTCCTCAACCAACCTCATCAATCTAATTGAGATGAGTATCTCACTGGCCTTTGCAAAATGTCGATGACAACTTTCTCAAGACGGGACTCCCTCCAGTTTACCTTTCAATGTCATTTTAAGGTCTCTGCATTCCTTTCCAGTTGCACAAAGCCTGGAATTACAGCCTAGCAAATTCCTGCAACAGCCTCTCTAGAGTAATCCCCTAAAATCCCAGGTCTATGAATTGTAATTCTATTAGCTGTTAATCAAATGAAGTCTGGAAGAATGAAGCTGGCATGTGAAAATGTGGGAAGTTCCATATCTCTATCTTTAATCCTTCTTTTAGAGGGAAAAAAAAGTTATAGGCTAATGTGATTATCTGTAATCCCATTCTTACTTGGTTTTAGAAAAGTGTCTGATTCCTAATTTATAAGCCAGTTTTGTGAAACACTCCGAATGCTTTTATGTAGGGGCTGGTGAGTTATTTTGCAGTTATGTTACTGCTCAGCTGATTGTCTCTGAGAAAATATTGGTAGCAAGAGGAAAATAAATACCTATAGCTGGCAGTTAGTTTCTAAACTGTTGTGCAGCATAATTTAGAAAATTTGAAACCAAGAGGATATAAGTGGAAACACAAAACTAGCATAATCCTTTCAGGTATCTATGTGTATGTATAAACACAGGAAAAAACCCAACCTATACATACACTGCAGATTGCTTTTTGGAATTTTCTAAGCCCAAAGGTTTACATTAAGATTGCATTATTTGCTAGCGTGTTATTACTGCTAAAGAAATGGCTGTACTTAATACAGACCTGGGAAAAGCCTTCCAATTAGCAGAACTGTCTCTGAAAAAGAGAAGTGAATGATCTGGGAAGTTTTTCCCTATTGAGGCACAAGTTGTTCCTTTCGGTGCTGACCGAACAAAAACAGTAACTTCTGTTGAAACGTTACTATGAAGTGTTAGAAACGCCACTGGCCCAGTGGAGAGAGACAGAAGTGAAAAGAATAAGCAATTCCTTGGTGTATTCCTGTGTACAAGCAACCTCAGTGCAAAGAATTAACGCAACCAAATACTTTGTCAGCACTGCTCTGGAGACAAGGATCTTTGTGTTGGGTGAAATGCCAAGTGCAACCTGAGCTCAAGGTCTTTTAGTGCCAGCACTTGATAATATTGAATTAGTTTTGTTCAGAGGTTCAGGGTATTGTCTGCAAGCCCTGTGTAGGAGGAAGAGCTGCCCTAATTTCCCACTTTCCAGGGAAGAAAATGAAGTTGGAGCCACCACAGAGGCAGCGTGATGCTGGGGCTCGTGGACTTTGAGAGCACCGTGGTTCTCCACGTGGTGACTCTGGAGATTCCTTGTTTGCGGTAGAAATGGGGGTGAGAGAGAGAAGAGAGGAAATAGGTTTGGAAGCAGGGAGTAAACTACCTCACTCAAATGGCTGCTTCATGTGTAGGCAAAGCCTACAAGAAGTCCAAGTCAAAAAGACGGCAGTGTTGGAATACAGAGAAGTGGATGCGGGAGTGAGAACGCATCCCCTCTGGGGCAGCTTGTGTGTAAACTGCTGAGAATGAGGTGCTCACCCCTAGCTATGGGCAAAGCAAAAATGCAGGAGCGATGGCTATGGAAACCAGTTGAGAATTTGGAAATGTAGAGGAGGTGGAAGAGAGGAGACAGAAGTCAAGCCTATAAAACCAAGAGGCTGCACACTAAAGGCAGGCCCTTTTGTGGGGAGACAGAAACCCCAACCACAGAAAATGAAAGGTCACAAGGAGCATTGAAAGACAGCACTTCTCTGTGAAATTCAGCATAAATCTGCCAAATTTACTCCCTAAGGACATGTAGTTGTACAAGCTTCTTCAGTAGCCTGGAGCCTTTTGCCTCAGTCTGCCCTGACATCTAGGATCTAAAGGTGAAAGAGTGTTTAAAAGCAGAGTGTGAGATAGGCTAGATTTTATATGAAAAGCATAAAAATGTCTCTGGGTTGTCTTGATACCTATCACACTTTACTGCATGAGAATGACTACTAGGCCTTAAGGAAAATGTTCTGCTATGGTTGGGTTCATTCCAGGATTAACCTGGTGTTTCTCATATTCTACCTGCAATATCTGGGCTGCAGCAGAAAGTGGGGTGGAATTGGTGGGAAATCAAACTGAGCTGCTAGGAAAATTTTTAAAGGTGTCTTTTTGGTTTCAATGGTAATGAATGGAATTCATTTCAATGTAAATGATCATTTTTTGGATCAATATCTTGACTAGATACAAAAAAAATCATGGGAGAAGATCCTTGTGTGAAGACTGTGAAAGAAATTGAAAATGGCAGCACAAACTGCTAAAAAATGTTGTGTAGGTTCCCTGTATTAAAAGAAAGCTTCTTAAATAAAAGCTTATGTGAAGGGGGTGGGGAACAGACTTTTCATTTTAGGAGTCTCTAGTTAAATACTTCAGAAAGCAACTTTCTTTGAGAGCGGATATGTTTATTTTATAGAATTCTAAATTAAAGGCTTTTCTGAAGCTAAGAAATGAGGAAAGTTACCATAAAAGAAGAAAAATAATTGTTATTTTTTCTTTGATGTTATGTAACATTTTATTCATTATCTTTCAGTTCTTGCTTTTTTTTAAATCCCACATTTGAGAAACAAAAAGTATGAGATACATGATGCAAATATCTGTCCTTTTTTGCTGCTTGGCCTCAATCTTCTCTTGAGGTTCTCTGTTTTGTTGGAAAATACCGGCTTAATTGCAAGCCCAGGAGTCAGGTTAGGATCTGCATTGCTGAAAGTTCTGTGAATGGTTAAATGCAGAATTCAGCCTAGTTGTTCAAGAGTAACTCCAGGGTTAAGATCCTTTATTAAGGTCTGTGTGCCTGGACTCTTGGCCTTTGCTACCCCGGTGTAGGACAGGAGTTGAAACTCAACAGAAAGACTCATCCCTCTTGGCTCTTGCCTTTAATGCATGCTGATAGAAGCTAAAATATTAGGAAGAAAAATGGAACAAGTGAGGCTGCTTGGGTTTCTTAAAATAAGTTTGAGCTTTGAATGAAAGAAGTGAGGCAGCATAACCAAATTCCCCTGCAGCTGTCTGAAAGGAGCTCGATTTCCCTGAATTTTCACACCCCTCCCATTGGAGGCATGAAAGAACCGTGAGGTTCTGGCTGCCTTTCCCTGACATTGCAGGAGTAACATTTGGAAAGGACTTGACAGAAGCAGAACCTGCACGTTGCTGCAGTGAAGGTGTGAGGAGCGCTGAAGGCTGATCACCAGCCAGAGGTCACCAGGCTGATAGCACAGAAGGTGTGTGAATTCCAAGTGCATTAGTCATAAAGAGCTAACTGCTCAAGAAGCAGCTCGGTCTGGAGGAATTGGCAACATAGTCTTGACTTTGGAAATAAGAAGGGAATTGAAAATGGTTTCTCATGTGGGGGTTTTAACAAGATCTAAAACAAACTAAACTATCTCTAAGGAGACAGGCTTACTAGTAAGCAAAAGGAGGAGGCTGCAGCGCAGGAGCACCTGGCACTTGCTGCAGCACCGGGCAGCGGGGCGAAGGGTGCAGGAGGTACGTGGAGACTGCGGGCGCTTCCCACGGGAACCTGCTCCAACCAAAGGCAAAAAGAGGTTGGCTGGCAAACGCGTAGCCTGAGAAAGGAGAGTGGGGTGGATCTTCGCTCGTGTCGTCTTGGTGAGTGGGGAAAAAATAGCAGGATTTTCATCTTCCAGGCATGATGTAAGCAGGTTTTGGGGGAGCTCTTGTTAGAGCATCATTGTGAGTCACTGCTCTCCTACTGCTGGAGTAGTGAAGCAGACATTATACAGTGCAATTCTTTGATTATTTTTTTAAAGATATATATATATATATATAGCTATATGCACACACACACATATTCATATGTATATATACACATATACATACATGAAATGGATAGTTCTTAGTTTTTCTGCAGGCTTGCCGTTCTGCTTCTAGTCATCAGTTGTTGACTGACTTTGAAGAAATGGGAGTTAGAGGTTTAATACCCACATAATCAGTTAACAAGATTTCTGCTGGAAATACATACATTGCTCAATGTCACATCATTCCTCATTGCTAATGTAAAATTTTATATGGCCTAATTAAATTGCATTTTTAAACATTGGCAAGCACTGAGTTGATTGCTATATTTTGTCCCACTTTCTTGGTAGTGACCAAATGAGGGTTTCGTGTCTGCTTTACTCCCCTTATTCTCTTTTACTTATTTGGAAGTAATCTGAGTGCAGGAAATGTGAGTGCTGCCAGGCTAGACTACTTGAGGAGCTTCTGTCTAGTCCTAAAATGCTAAAGGCTTTTGCTTCTCTCTGGATTTGAATGCACTTCGGTTGATGTGACTTCCTTCAGGAACTGCAGAAGCTCAGCCTTCCACTTCCCATTGGAGACGTGCATAGTCAGCTCCTCTTGCACCTTCCTTTGGCACCTGCTTTCTTTAGAGTCCCACCTGTTGGATATGCGGCCACTGCTGATCTGCAGGTGAGAGCTTATCCAGTGTTGTTCAGCACGCTGTAAATCAGTTGGAAAATAAAACTGGTGAGCTGGGGAGGTTGGTTGTGTAGAAGGTGAATCCAACTTATTTCAGGAAATGTGAAATCTAATATCTGGAATATCCAGTACCTGGCCAGGTAACTGAGGAGACAGTCCACTTTTGTGTTGGACTTGGGGAGCACAGGTGAATTGTAAGCAAGATTCCTCCTCCTCCTCCTCCTTGTGTCTGTTCACATGCTGTTCTGCTGCCCTGCGGCAACCACGGCCAGAGTGGCAAAAGCAGAATTTTACAGCAGTGTTTGTTAGACTTTGAGGCCATGGAAGCCGGTGATAGCAGGTTCTGGAAGAGGGTATTAAATCTGTTCATTGTTCAGCAGCTGAGAGGATGAAGGAGCTGCCACCAAAAATCCTTGCTTGTCACAGTCTGTGCATTTTTTGGTGGGTCTTTGGAATTTTTTGCAGAGAGGGGAGGAGTCTTATGCCTGCAAAGGTGATTTATTTTATCTCCTTTTCCCCTTATTTCATGGGTGCAATTCATGTTAACAAAGAGGAAGATATGGTCACCAAACTGTGGCGTAGTCTGATAGGATCCTAAGGAAATGTATTTTCACTCAATCAACTCTGAACAGCAATTTGGTCTCGAAAATTTGAAATAAAACTCCCGCACCTGATGGGAGTCTGTGCAATGTTGGAGTCACCAGCATTGGTGCTGCCTCGCTGCAGACTCTGGCTTTGCCATGGGGAGCTGCCCCACCTGGGAGAGCAGCTGGGGAACGTGCATCCCAGCAGAGAGCACAGATCTCACCTGTGCCTGTTCACAGTGACCTCTCGGATGGTGTTTTGGGGAAGAAATGGTTCTGCTGTCTTGAGCAAAGTCCCTCTAGAAAGTGAGCATGTGGTTTCTGAAGTAAACAAATCCATCATCTTCCTTGCAAAAGGGAGACATGTCCCCCAGCCTGTCATTTTTGTGATCTTGAAAGTGTTTTGTATTCTTTTGCCCATGACTTTCCTTTGTCTCTTCCCCTCAGATTCCCTCTTGATATTCAACTGTTGCAAGCAGACCATGGGGGATGAAACGGAAACCTTCTGATTACTTCTTTGTGCAAGCAGGCTGCCTCCCTTTGTTTTGCCCTGTTGGAGATGGCAAAGCCACGTTGCTCCGCTTCCCAGCTGCGCTCATATTCTTGTGTGACCTGCTTGTTTTGTGAACTAGGTTTCCTTATGACCTTCAGTCTTTTTACTTAGTTGTTCAGCAAATCATAAAGAGAAAAAATGATGTCCAAAGAGAGACAATGCCATTATCTTTCATGTTGCCGACCTTCCGTCTGCAGCACCACATGTTACTGCGTTACCTGTTTAATCTGGGGAGCAGGGTGTTTTGGAATGCCAAGGTGGTTATCACTCTTTAACTCCTCAGAGGTTGCTAAGCCTCTGAGGCCTTACCCTCAGACCAAGAACCCTTCCTGCACAAAACCTGCAAGCTCCTCATATCACAAAAGCTGTTACCCGCTGCTCAGGTGGTGACACGGTGCTCTAGAAAAGGCCTCGCTTTCCCTGAAGGATACTAGGCTCTTCTTTCTCCCTGTATGCGCAGGCCATGCCAAGCTGTCCTTCAACCACAACAGAAGATCGTGGAGTTGTTTACAGAAGATCATACCGTGAGGGCCACTTCTGCGTTATCCCCAACCCACATCTCTTCCCTCTTCTGTTGAGTGCTCAAAATAGCTTTCACCCTTACCAAAGGGTCAGGCGTCCCACGTTACAGGGCTGCTGGAAACCCCTGTGAACCTCCGTGCCGTCGGCTGGGTCCGGAAGCGCAGCGCTGTGCTGGGAACCCTGTGTGAGCCTGAAGAACCCTGTACGGGCAGGAGTGCTTCTGCAGGGCGCTCACGAAGCATTTCTGTACCTTGTCTTCCTGCCCTTGATCCTTCAGAGCGAGGCAAAGCAAAAAGAGAGAGAAATCAAACCTGTATCTGCCCTGGACATGCATCCTGGCTGGAGTTTGGCTTTACGGCATGGCCTTCTCCCAGCAGAGCCCCACTCTCTTCTGGGGTCCTGCTTCTTGCCTTGTCTTGTGAGCCAGTAACTCTCGTCTCTCCCCTTTCTGATGTGTCCCCGAGTTCTGCAAGCGCCTTTCTTTTTCTTTTTTCTTTCTGATTTTTAATTCGTATGTTTTCCTGCACTTGTTCTGTTCTGAAGAAGTGCTTGCCTATTTGGGAGAAATACTGGGCAAAGTTTCAACGCTATCAGCTGGTGGTTTTCTTAAGAGCTGGTCTCCGTATTATTATTTTTTGTCTGCAGCTTAGAATAGCTCGCTATTAAAATAACCACCTCCTTTGATTATTAAAAGAAAGGCATAGACAGACTTACCATAAGTCTTTGGAAAAAGGCCAGCAGGATTAAGTGCTGCCTGCACATTCCCATGTAGTGAAGCTTGCTAAAGATTACGCGTGGAGATCTTACGAAACTCTCCTAGCCATCCATAGCTCATTGTCTGACAGTCTGCAAGTGAGGTGCTTGAGGAGGATTAAAACAATTCTTTGTGTAATAATAGCACTTCTGTCATCAAGTGTAATGGTAACAAATCCAAATTTCAACTGTTATTTATGCAGCATTTTAAGGCTCCTGTTGAAACCATCCGTTCTTCATTTCAGAACATTTTGAAAGTGAAAATACCAGGGTAGTTCTCATGGTTTACAAAAAGAAAATGCTTTTTTTTTCTCTCTTTTATTCCAATTTCAGATTCTGTTTCCAACCATTGCTGCTGTGCCTTCTGTTTTTCTCAGCACTTGGCAGAGCGAGGGGAGGTGTAGGAGGAGAGGCAATTGGTGTTTAGTTCTTCATATGCTTTCTAATTTATACTTGGGTTGATTATATATGCATCTAGAGCAAATAGGCACACATGCATATAAATAGACATGCATATGCATGTACTAAATAGAGATACATCATGATTTTCTTGTTATAGACAAATACTGTATCATCTTCCAGGGCTTCCTTGCTTTGTGCCTGATAAAAATCCTGATTATGTGTGTTCATTTATATACTGTTCCTGCAGACGAGAAAGTTTTGATAAAGATGCAGCGACTGAGACGTCTTCCATTTTTGAGGTCATTCAAGTTCTTATATCAAATCTGTGCCCTTCTGATAGTGAGTAGAACTGAAGCCTCGAGAGGCTGCAGTGGCCGAGGGGTGACCGTGCGCCAAGGCCGCAGGGCACCCAACGCGATCTGCAGCGTCAGGAGCCCACGGTGCCATCGCCGCCGCTTCGCCGCGGGCCTGGATTGGGCCCAGTCCCCAAAGGGGAGGTCTCTGCTGCTCAGCATTGCCCTTGATCGGGGATTGAGTGTGTGGGGCAGCCCGGCCGCTCCCCAAGGGCGTGCGGAGGCTGCCGGGCTCCGGGGCCGTGTCTGCTGCCAGCACTGGGTCGCTGCGCTGGGCTTTCGTGCTGCTCCGTCTGTCCTGCGCTCCGGGCAGCTCGGAGCTTCCTTACTCCTTATTTTGGTATTGAGGAAAAGGATGAAAAGGAATCTCTGTCTTCACGTCAAATATATGTATCTTTGGTGAAAATGAGTTATTTTAATGTTACTGAATGCTTCCTTCTTTCATAATCATTGTCATGCAGCAGAGCTGTCACCAGGCTGCTATGAAATTGGTCTGCAGATCTGCAGTTAGCGAGGAAAATCCATTGAAGTGACACAGACTGGGTTTCACCGTCTTATTTTTCTCCACAACCTGAAATTTCCAAAATGCAGAGTACAAACTTATTTAATACTGTATTTTGAAGCCCCAGACCATGTTTTTTTCACCTTGATGCAGCCTGATCTCACCATCGTGCTTCCTGGGCTGAGAAAAGAAGCTGGAGGGACGTGCCCAGTGGGAGTGTTTGCAGGGCAGAGCAAGCAGCTCCCAGCAGAGGCCTTCCAGCTCGCATCCCTAGGCAGAGCTGACAGGGACTCGGCAGGAACACGGGAGTGCCAGGCTGGAGTGCTCCATGAGAGGCGGGAATGCGGGTTTGGGAGGGAAAGCAGAGCTAGGAGGACAAAGCTGAATGCTTGGGCAATTTGGGCTGTGCTGTTTATTAGGGCTAAGGAGCCTGTGGGAAGAACACGCTGAGCTTTGCAGATAATCTTCAGCCTTATCTTCTTGTGTTTGCAACCTGCCCAGAAGTAGAGGGTGGATAAGATTTGACCTCTGCGCATTGCACTCCCGGGGTATTGTGTAATGTTCTGGTATCATCGTACGTTAAAGGATGTTGAAAAAACTGCAGGATGAAGGAAAAGGCTATAAAAATGATTCAAAGGCTGGAGAAAATGCCTTAGAGCAGGAGGCTTGGATGTGATCTATGTAGTTGGCTAAAAAAGATTGAGAGGTGATATGGTTAGAGAGTTGTGAAAATATTTATGTAGGGAAAAATCATTATTAGGGGGCCTCTCTTCTTCCAGTGAAGAAAAGCAGGATGCAAACTGAGCCGTGGGAGCTAAAACTATCCATTTAGATGAGAAGCGCTTCCCCAGGGTGCTATTTCAAGGCCCTGTCAGGGAAACTGGAGAACTTTCTATCTTCCTGCCTTAACTTGAAGAGCGCTGATGGACCTAGTGCTGCTACAGGCACAAATGACTGAGGTTAATCCGAGGTATTTTTGTCACCTCTAAAGAGCCACGACAGAGTAGCGTTGAGCCATACCGTAAACTTCTACCTGGCTCCAGAACTTTGTGTGCTCTTTAAAAATACCCTAATTAACAAAAGGAGCTGTGATGGTTTGCCTAGCAGTTGCTTGTTGTTAGTTGTGGCACTTGTGTTTAGGGAAGTCTTTCCCGTGGAGCTGTTGGGAGGTGCTCGCGCTGCCCTGACCGTAGGTGGTTCCAGCCCTGTCAGCAGCGATGGAGACGCCTGGCGCTTCCCCCCATTGGGGAAAGCTCAGCTCGGCTGGGCTTGGCTTTGAGCAGGCAGTTGAGCCCAAACGCGCTGTGTGCACGTGCGAAATAGACTTGCCGGGTGAATTTATGTCTCTGATGCTTTCTAATTAGCGAATTCCTGTTCTTAAAGTATTTGTACTTCTGCTGTATTGTGTACTCTGTGTTTACCCTCGTGCTGCTTTCGCTGCTTGAGGAACACTGGCTTGTATTTTGATTAATTCTCATTAATTAAAGAGGAGCTTTTGCGTCACTGCATTTCTGTAGCCCTTTGATTTCTTTTATCAAAACCCCCAAGGAGTTACAAAATATCCACCAGCTCTCTGCCATATCTGCATAAATACTTAATTGTGGTGTGATCGCATTAATATAACTTCTTGTTCCTTAGTTTAATTAGTGCATGTTGTTTGGTAGCATGAGCCCTGAAAAGAAAAACCTACTTAGTTTCCTACATAAGGAAGCAATGATCCTTTGTGAGAAACAGTACTTGTAGGGTGTGTATAGTTGTAAATGTGTGTATGTGCATCTGTGCATATAGATACATATGTGTTTTGGAGCATGTTTCTGTCAAGATGTGGCCCTGCGTGCGGGACAGCTGCTCGGGTGCTGGATCCTGCATGCGCTTCAAGCAGAGCGGGGCCGCGAGGAGCGCGGGCTGGAGGCGACGCTCGTGCTCTAACCTGCACATGAAGACTGGTGTTTGTCACCAGTCTGTCTCCTTGTTACCTTGCTGCTGCTAGCTGGCATTGGAAATGCGATAAACCGGGCAGAAAGATCCGAGTGTAGCATCCTGTGCTGTTTCGAGATCTGTATTAAAGTCCGTATTAAAAATGTCAGATGATCAATCAAAACCCCTTGTAACTTGATGTGCACTATTACGGTCCATGACTTGACGCACACTTGCCTACCCTGTCTTGCAGAGGTTGATGGATTGATGGATTGAAGTCTCATGGAGGTTAATTCCAGGCCAACTTGTCCAAAGAGCACAGCTCTGAGCAGAGTGTGTGGATTTTGTGAGAACACCTGGCTGGGGAGGGATCCAGGTTGCTGCTTGCACTGGCTTAGGCGTCTGCTTCACTTTAGGTGGTGCTGAATCTCAGGGCTGCCAACGGGGCAGCATTGCTAATGTCATTCTGATCTTTGGGAAGGGGTATTTTTGTAGAG